CTCTTTGAGGTATTATTCTAGTTTTGCTTGGTATTGTTTTTTTTATTTTATATTAAAAATTACTATTTATATATTTGCATATTATTATTTATCAAAAATCATAATGTATAAACTTATTTAAATATTAAATTAAATTAAAATGTGCTCAGTGAACATGAGCTCGGATGTTCCTTTCAAGCAACTCCTTCGACTTTAGTCGCACATCTATATGTATGCGGATTTATCTTGCCACAGTCCTCCGGCTCGTATACATGTTTATAAAATTGTCTAAATTCCCACAAGTTGATTTAAACTTTCTTCGCCTGCTCAATGTACGTGTGTGTTTGTCAGTATTATTTTTATGCGAAAAAAACTTGCTTTTGTTAGTTTGATGCCCGGTGGTGGTGCTCATGTCTCTAATGCAAGTATCTCTTTTGGGTATTCTCCATGTTTTCCTGCTTCTTTCAGACCCACATCGCGTATACGTAATGTCTGTGCACCGGCACCAAGCAGGGGGAATGAATGGAGGCGGAAGTATCATATATTGTATTGTTGTTATTCCACCGGTATCCCTTTCAGGTCTGGCATTCTAGGAAATGCTAAAAATGCTCTCAGGTATTGAAATCTGAATCGTAGCTAGGCCACTGTTGCAGCCCTGCGCTTTATTTGTTCCACTGTCCTCGTTTCCCTGCATTCTGTACCTGCTCGCCTGGACATGAGATAAGCCACACAGGGATAAGCTGTCTCCCAAAACGTGGCATTGAATTGGGGACTTTGTATCAAGGTGGGTGGAAGGTTAAACATATGGGTAATACAGAAACTTGTTTATTTACTACTATTTACAAAACTCACTAAGAAATATGTCACAACTCTCAAGAGATGTTTTATTTCTAGATTTCTGTTTGCTACTTATTCCTTATGTTTATTCCTAGCTAATAAAATGCGACATAATTGCACGTAACTCTGGTGGGCTTTTCTTAGCCATGATCCTCTTGGCCCGTTTACCCACTTGTTCTGCCTGATCCGGCTAATCTGCCCGCCAGCATCTGTTTATAATTTGAGGCGAGAACCTTTAGGCCTCTTCGACGGTGCACTTGAATGAACTTTCACATTCGCTCTGTCATCCACTTCACACGCCGTGGCCCCCCTTCACCCCCATTTGCACTCGCATCCTGATAGGAGCGCTTTAACCAGCTAACCACTTGACTCAAGTGTTTGCTCACTTTGCGGGCAGCTTTCCCTACTTTCTCCCGTCGCTTCGGTCTGTGGTTACTGCTCTTTTTTTCGCATATGTTTTGACACGCCTTTTTTGCGCCCAGATGTTTTTGTTTTCCACCGATTCCCCACGCCTCGTGTGTTTTCCTTGCGACCTCCGCAGCCAGCACTCGTGGCATTTCCATTGTCTGTCGGCTTTCACTCACTTTATTTGTACTCGTGCATCATAAGGGTTTAATGGATTTGCCGTTAGGCATCCTAGGCTGCCTGAAGGAACCTCGGAAAGCTTCCTTCTGCTTTGCATCATTTGCCCACTTTTCACACGCCCCTAAGTGCGGGTGCGAGTGAGTGTGTGTGTGTGTGTGTGTGTGTGTGCCTACGCAATGATTATCATATTACGGCCATTGTTTCTGGGCCCTGGACTCGAACACCTCCGCACTCTCCGGCACTTCGCTTTATGACTTTATTTTCGCCTCCTCCCGTCGTCCGGCAGTTAATACATTTTTATAGACTTGCCAAACTACTTAACCGCCCACCGGCGGCTTATTTCGCCCTCACTTTCTGTGTCTCTCTATTAGCTTTTCGCGTGCTTTGTCATTGCCGTTAATAGACTTACCTCGCCTCCTTCGGCTTACAGGACGCGAAGCCGAGACAGAGCGTTGGGGCCAACTGGCCACTTGCCAGAGGAACGGCTGAGGCTCAGGTGTAGCCATAAAAAAATTGGTCAACGCCGCGTATGCGTAATGCGCGAATGCCGTTTTATTTATGCGCTAATAGGCCTTCAAAAGATTTAATGACTGCCAGGGTTCGTTAACCGCTGTAAAAGACTTGAGGTTTACAGGGAATTTATTCTAACAAGGAAATGGAAAACAAATTGTCCTGCTTAACTTCGGTTCTCTTTTGTAATTTAGAAAAATTAAATTACTTAAAGATATATGAAAACAACACTCAACAGAAAGGCTAAGCTCAATTTTTGTGAAAATATTCACATGCATCCTGTTTGCTTGCAAATTCTGTTTACATTTGCCAACATTTTTGCAGACTTCAGCAGCAGCTGCAGATCGAGAGGAACAACAAAGGACATGGAGCCGTCTTAGTTGGCCATGTATTTCGGTTGTCGTAGTCTGAAGCTGTCCTTAACACACATCAAAGGCATTATTAACACCGCATACACAAGCAGGCCCCCAAAATGATGCCTTCAAGGGGCCAAAAACCCAAAACATGTGTCGTTGGCCCTGTTTTGTCAGGGTGTGTGTGCGTGCGAGTGGCCCTATGTGCGAGTATACAAGTATTTATGAGCCATGTACATAGATGGCAGGCACACATACATACATATAACAACTGCTTTTGGCGTGCATTAAGTGGTCTTAACTTTCCACACAAGGACATGCTTTTTGTGGTCTTTAAAATTATTTTTCGCCCCACATGCGGGGGTGGCAAAGTTTCCATCAGAACGTCTGTGCGGCCAATAAAACTTATATTAGTCTGGCAGGCAATATAATGCCAACGCATTTTCTTTAAATTTGCTGCAAGGATCAAATTCTTAGCACGCTTCGGTTTGCTTGAAAATATTTAGCTTAAGGCTTTGCTCTGGTTGTCTTTAATGATCTGTAGCTTCTTACTTAACGGAATAACTTATTTTCAAATCGCATTGCAGTATACAATTTACGTTCGTAGAAGTTTTTCACCTTTCCTTCCCCCCTGAAACTCGTCAATTTAATGCTCCCCTGCCAGCTACACGTAATCCCACATATTTGTCTGGGCTGGGGGGCAACTTGAAATTTACAGCTGCCAATTTGGAAGTCAGAGCCCGTCTGACCCTTTTTTCCTTTGGCTCATCAATGAACCAATAAAGTATGCTTCGGGAAAAATTGAGGGTAAAGGGCCAGCAATTGATGTTTTATTTACTCGTTATATGTGTGAGCCATACAAATGCAGTTTGGTAAATGTTTACCTCTCCATTCGCTCCCTTGTTTTCTCTGCAAAATCAGGTTAACGAAGACCTGTCTTCTGGGGCAATTGGGATGCGTGATCAATTTTCCTCAACGGAAACGGGAAGCGGGGAAAGCAAGTTGCTGCAATTAGCAGCCGAGACCAAGAATGCAAAATTCAGTCAAAGAATTTCCGATGCAAGGCAGACTTGTGCAGCCTAAAAAATTGAAATTTTAGCGAGAAACGGAAGCTGCCAAAATGTACACTTGCCCAAGCTCAGAATAAATATTAATAATTAACTTATAAATAAAATGTGAAAAGTAAAGTAAAATTCTAATTCAAACGTTTGCATTGGAGAAGCATTTGTATTTTTTTGGAATTATACCCCTTTTCCATTCACTTTAGGCTTAATTGCATCTGCTCCCCATTTGGTTCAGTGCATCCTTCCGTGTTGGCTTTTCCTCAATGTCGACTGCGACACTTCAAAGTTCACGTTGTCGCCGAGTTAGAGAGTAATGAAAGTTGCGTGTGCCTCCTTGTCTGAAAATCGGCGAAGGACGCGGATGAGGACGAGGACGAGGACGTGACGACGTTAAGTCGCGGGGCGGCTGCATTCAAATTAAATAGCATTTTGATGAATATTGATCGATTGCCTGGGCCTTGGGGCAAATTAGAAGCGCAAACCGCATTGACAAAGTTTTTATTTGTGCGCCGCGGGCGAGTGGTTGGTGGTTCAGGGGTTGAAAGTTTAGCCTTCACAGTTTGGCAGAGGACGATCTAGGGGGTTTGAAATTATTTGCAATTTGAATTCAATTTAAAGTGGACAGTTTAATTGGGGCATCTGTTCAGTTGAATGTTTCAGCTTAGCGAGACAAGAGAATGTGTTTTTTAAACATTGTCTGCATTTCCTTAATCGATATAATCGAATAATCGAGTTTTCGCATCATAAAAGAGAACCCATTGCATAACTCTCACATCTGAAGGACTCGTAACATTTGTTTAATATGAAAGAACACTCGGCTGCCAAGTCAAGTCAGCGTTAAAGCATTTTCGTAATGGAAGCTACAAAGTGCTTCAGTTTTTCCAGACGACAACAGAGCCGCTGTGCAAGGCAATGTCCTTCGGATGGGACACAATGCAGGCAGCCACCGGAAATGAGTAAACAAGCGTCAAATAGTGAAAACAGCGACCCAGTACAATGCAATACCCGGTCCCAGCTCGTAGTCCTTGCAGCCTCGGCACCCTCCTCCTTGGCTTCTCAGTGCTGGCCTGCTCCTTTCCGAGCCCCAGCACAAAAATACAAATAAATGAAACATTAAACGAGACAAGGACCAGAGCCGGGGCTCTCGACGGCGCACTGGCGAGGGAGGACGAAAAATGAGCACCGAAGACAACAACCGGATATCCTGGAACTTTATAAGGAGGAGCTCCCTGGCAGGCACCCGAAAAAAGGACAACAAAGCCAGCAGCAACGACGACAAGGACAGCGAAGTTTATTTTAACTTTTGATTTCCGCATTTCTTGGTACGCCCCGTCCCCGTCCCTCCTGGCCAAGTGCATTGGCAAATGATTGCATTGAGTGGCAAAGTTGCGCCTTCCCTGGAATATCGAGCGAGCCGGATCGCCATTAAAAATGTATTAAATGCGCGACTATCTGGCTCTCTGCCTCTCTAAAGGCGTAAAATGTAAGGATGATAGATGGTTTCGGGTTTACTTGTACTGGACAAAGTGCGATTGTAATTATATATATTAGTGTTAACAGTAAAAATCCTTTTATTAAATTATATTTATTCCAAATTGTGGTTTAAATTTGGAAAATTTCTAAACTCTCCTAGGAACTTGGCTTACCCATCAACTTGGCCTTGACTTTCAGGTCTGTTCTACGGCTTCTAGGTGGAATATACTTCTGCATTTTCTTAGATAACTTTTCTAATGAGTAATTTCAACATGAAGCTCAACACAACCCCAGTGTAAGAATTTACCGTACACAGAAAAACTTATCATAATTGTTTCTTAGCTATAGCGATTCCGAAATATCTTTAGAAGATTGGTCATCTGAAGAGGAAGTTGAGGAGAACTCGGCATGTTCGTCTGTGGTGGTGACCTTGCCACGGTGAGTAGTCCACCTGTTCTCCCCGATATCTCTAACCATTCTCTGCAGCACACTAAGACTGATCTTGGATTATAAGCAGTTCAAGGCGGCTCAACTTATTCAGCGACACATTCGGGGCTGGCTGGTGCGTACTAACTTGCGGAAACTCAAGCTCGCTACGGTGGTGATTCAGAAGTGGTGGCGCCGATACATGGCACAGAAGAACCTCATCGTCGTGGCCGAAACCAAATTACAGCTGGCCGTAGTGCAGCTGTACAACTTGAGTGCCACCCTGATTCAGAAAGTCTTTCGTGGCTGGTGGTACCGGAAGCAAGGCATCGACATGAGAAAGCTCAGGCATCTGCAGATGTCCATGTCAGAGTACATAATCCGTATTCTGGGCAATTGCTTAAATGAGCTCAAGGACAAGGCCATGCTTCCAGGAGTCAGAATTCGTCTTCCGCAGTGAGCTAATTGACTTAAAATTAAAATGAACTTGAAATCGGTTTACTAATGAGATCTTGTCTAGGAAGTGCAACGAAACGATAGAACAGCTGGTTTCCACATTCGACTATCGCATATACAATGGCCGCGCCTGCTACAGAATGGAGCAGACAAAACAAGAAATCAATGATTTGCGAAACTCTTTCAAGGTGTCTGCAGATTATACCAACGTTCCCTTTCGTGGATTCGACTATAAAGAACTTTGCGAGAGACATGTCTCGTCCTTGGAAGTGGTTGAGCAAACCCCTGAGGCCATCGAATTGATTCGGAAATTTGTGGCCGGAAAGGCCGATATGAACCTGAAGTCAAAGTATATACGCAAATCGAAGATTGCAGCGAGTAAGTCAATTGACTGGCCTTTTTTAGCAGAGTCTAAACTATAATTTTCCATCTGTTTGCAGGCAAGTTAACTTATCGGCTAGATAAAAAAACAGCCTTCTTTAAGCGCATCACTCGCGACATGAAGAAGTGGCATAACGCGAATGGGGATAAGGTCCTACCGAAGGAAATATTCAAAAATACCGATATGAAGGTCCTTCTGGAGGAGGCCCAAGAGAACCTAGAGGATATATTCGGCAGACTGGGGCTGTGCATTTGTGGAGCATCCGCCGAGATTGCTGATAATTAAAAAGTTCTTCACACCTTTGTATATTTTGTAAGGTATAATTTACAAAAATGTAAAGCTTTTAAGCTACTTGAGATCTGCAGAGGCAGCCAATAGAAATAAAATCATGTACTTTGTCAGCATTTTGGAATCTTTTACCTGCTTTCACTGAAACTTTTCCCAAAAATGAACACATGAATGTATGAGCAGTGTGAGCCTTTTAAGCCAGACTTTCTTTGACCCCTTCGATGCCATGACTGCCCTGTATTTGTGTTGATTCCGCACACACAAGGTATGTACGTAGGTTCAATATTGGCAACAAATTAAATTTAATTATGTTTGCTGTTGCAGCCAAAAAGAAGCGCCTTAGCAAAAAGTGAAGCACAATTTGCCAACTCGGTAAATATTTGCCAACTGACGCTAATGAACTTGGGCATACAAATAAGCAAAGGCAAAGGTTTTGGGGCTCCCAGAGAGCTGTGCAGAATATAATTTTCCCCACAGATTGGTCGGGCTCTCAATTGTGTCGCTGGGCTCCATTGAAGAGTTTCTCCCAGCACTTTTCACGAATAAAATAAGATGAAAGAAGCGGCTGGGAAAATACGTCTGAAATAAAAGAAAATTGGCTAAGGAGCCGAGAACGTGTGTGCAGAAAAAATCTTTGCTATTGATTGTGTGTGACTGGTATTTACACATTCCTCCTTTCTCGCATGGGAAGCGCGTGGCATGGCCATTGTGAGGCCACAGAAGTCAACATTCCGTTCTATTTCCTCTGATTCCTGGAAGGTCTGTGTGCTCCCAGGGCTCAGTTGGGGTTAAGGGACTGAAGCACGATACGAGTATTCACTTTTTGTTTTAAACAAGCAAGCAAAGTAGTCTGGCATTTTTGATTCACCCCCAAAATCGACTCGACTTCGAAGGCGGCCAGGAATATTCTGTTCAATTCCAAATTCCAGAGTGAACACATCTCCTAGCTCAGTAAAAACAAAGTACAAAGTAAATCTTTTGGCTAGGTTTAAGCATAAAGTGAAAAAGAGAGACAAACAGAGAATGAATTTATAAAAAACAGGTTAGCATATCTCGTAGCTTAATTCTTTGGAACTATTATTCTAAAAACTCGGCTTTTAGAATACAGAAAAGATGTACACAATCCGGCCTGCATTTCCCTAGACGGATTCCAAGACACACATGAGAATGGTTCGTCACATAAGCATAGGACAGGTAAGACTATCATACATAATACCTTACCAAAATAATCTATATTTTGATTTCCAGAATTTTCTTGAAGCTTGCGCTTAAAGTTGTTACCCGAATGATTCCTTATACAAACAATGCGTAACAGGTAAGACCGGAAATTAATTTTCCAGATTTTTATACCCTTGCAGGGTATTATAATTTTAGTCAGAAGTTTGCAACGCAGTGAAGGAGACGTTTCCGACCCTATAAAGTATATATATTCTTGATCAGCATCAACAGGGGAATCTTTCTAGACATGCCCGGAAGAAATCGATTTTTTGGCCATTTTTGCGAAATTTGATAAGGGGTTACATCATTAAAATCAGCAAAAATGGCCAAAAATTTTCATTTTAAATTTGGTATGCAGTTTTTTTAAATTAATAAAAACTAAAACAAAACTGCTTTCCGAATCGAAATTAATGCATTTTTGGCTTAGTTATGATATATTTTAATTGTTACCTGCAAGGGTATACAAACTTTGTTTGGCTGGCCAAAGTTAGCTTTCTTTCTTGTTAACTAATAGATTATCTCTTCCCCAACAGATAATTTTTACAAATTGTACAAAGCATCGATATAATAACAGCATTAATATAATAAAATTAACCATACACTTATAAGCAAGTGAGATTTTTTTATGGTTTGGGCCAGACAAAAAAAGAACATGCTAATTAAGCCAAAAGTGGGTCAGAAAAACAGCGGAATAACAGTGAACAAGAGCTAAGAATAATGCTAGTCATAGGGAAAAAAAAACTGCGGAGAAACTGAATTAACCCAAATATGCAAATAAATTTGCCAGCAAAATGGAAACAAGTCTGGGCCAAGTTGCACATTAACTTCCGCAGCTCATTAAGTCACTGTCAGTTCCCGGGGCGGGAAGCTGGCGGAAAAAAAAATATATATAAATTTATGTGACGCCAACTGGACGACAGGCGACCACTGAACAGAGCCCCAGTCCCTCGAAAATCGACGTGGAACTTTTCTCAGAGCAAAAAAAACACAACAAAAATAAAATATCTTCTCTGTGAAAAAGTAGGGTGCGTGGGAGGTGTTTACAACCCCTCCCATGTATTTAGATAAATCAACGGGGGGGTCGCAAAAAATTGTTGAAAAGGTTGGAATGAAAATGTCGACGCTTTAAATGAAAACCGAGAAAACAAAAATCTCTTTTTGGGGGCACCCTCTTTCCGCACACTTTAATTAGGTCGTTTCCCTTATTTTGTTTTTATTTTTCTGTCCTATATAGGAAATGCCAGGAATTTTTTTGCTGTTTGAACCGAAGGTCAGGGACTGACTTGGGTCTCCAAAAAAGGCGGGGCAGGCCAAACTAATTAGTGGCCATTTTGTGGGTGCTCGCAGTTTAATTAAATTATAATATGAATTTAATTGAAAGCTGAAAAAAGTGAATGTCCTTCGAAAAGACATTTAAAAGGGAGACGTTTTTCAATAATATTTTTGAAGGGATTCTTAAAGGAACAAGTTAAATTTTAGGCTTCTTGAGCAGCAGCCTTGCTAAGTGAAGTTTATATTTGAAACAGATATATTAATACCTACTTACTTATTATATTATATTTTCAGTCACTTGAATTGTATTTATATATTTTTTGTTTAATTAGAGTTTTTAATGATTCGGCATGATTTGTGTTTATCGTTTTCTTTTTATTTCACGCACATTAAACAGATTGCGGGTCTTTAATTTAATTTCCTGTTTTCGTTATTATTGCAAAGGGGATAATCCTCCGCATGCGGCGTTATAATAAAGCACACGCGCTGCGAGAATCGAGAGTCAAGTCGGCGGAAAGAAATGGGACTGTAAACACCACGGATACGTTATATTATTATCACTCATACGCAGTGTTAGCGGCAAAGGAGTCCTCAATTTGGAATGTTTGCCTTGTGTGCTTTTGCAGAGGAGTTCACAACTTTTTTTTGACAGTGTAGCCGTGGCCGTTGTTCGTCTGAGATCCAATTCGTTGCGCGTTATCAATGAAACTGCTGATTTTTCTCGTCATCGTCGCCAGCATCGCCCCAAAAAGGACATTCGCTCGTGGCCATTCGGCAGTCCTTTCATCCCCTCTCTCTCTCTCTCGCAGGGCGCGACTCTCTCGCTCTCAACTTAACGAAGGTGCCGAAGTGTATATAGTCCTCGGCGAGAGACACTCTCTGTTTCCTGGCAGGGCCATTTAACGTTCAGGATATTTTGAAGCTGTAGTGCCATTATTACTTTAAAAGTTTTCATAAAACATTTGATAAAAACTTAAAATTATATAAACAATAAACACTGTAATTTTTGTAGAGTAGAATAAATAAAACACTAAATTGTCTTTTGTAAGGCACTGTTAATCTAGGGATTTTATTAAATATCCAGAGTCCCAAAAATGTTAAAATAGGGGGAAATTATTGTTATGATGTAAAGTAATTTCAAGTAAGTATTTAAATTCATATTTATATTTATTACGATTTTAATATAAATAAATATTTTTAATATAATATTTTTACTATAATATATTAATAATAGGAATTAAATAATTTCCATAGTGTTTCTTTTACCTAGTAAGTCAAACAACTTTGAATATTTTTATTTGCTCGTTTTTTGAGTTCAATAAAAATAAAAATTTTATTTAAATCAACCCAAAATTTAATTTAAAAAAATATTTAAATTTTTGTGGCATTTACACAAATAGTCCGTATTTGTAAAAATACCTAAAATACCTCAGTTTAGTGGTTTCTTCGTATAGATTTCCAATGAATGATGGGATGTCTGACTATCCAGTACACAAAGTCGGAGAAATAGATATAAATAATATGTTTTTTTTCTATTAAGTGATCTCGAAAACAAAAAACAACTTTATATAACTTTTTATTAATTGAAAAACTTGCGTTTAGACCACATTTCCGCGCCCTCACACGTCAGTCTAATCGCTGGGCGAGGTTCAATTAATTGCCGCTAATTGGGAATTATGCGTTTACCGCTTGGTGCAGAGTCAGAGGAATTAGTGTAAGCCATCAGCCTCACCTCTCTTCCCACGCCCACACAGTGTTTCAAGGCGCCTCAATGTGTTTCGCTTTGCCAACACATACTTAAAGCACTGAAAATCTTTTATGACACGTTATTAGTTGGCCCAGGACAAGGGGAAAGCCGCGGTTCGGGGAAGGGCAGGTTGGGGTTGGGGCTGAGGAGAGACGGCTCAGACAGCGAGCTTTAATATGCTTAATGTAATTATGAGAATCGCATAGAAGGGCGCCGCATCTCTGAATACAAATGAAAGCGTAATTCGTGAAAAGGACGAAGCACGGCTAGGACGTACCTGTGACTGTCATAAAAATACCCATACAAAATCACGCGATTTTTATTGTTGCCTGCGGAAAGCAGGAGAAAATTAAATGTGCATTTTGAATGCTTCAGGCTGTAAGGAGTTTTTAAAATTATAATCGTTAATTGGTTTCTCAAGTCTCTCCCTTAAGGTTATATTGTACATATAAAGAAAATTTTAAGTACAAGAATATAAACACATTTAAATGTCAACTTGATCTAGTTCGCCTGTCTTGGCTAATTGTTTTAAACATTTCGCTTTTAGCTATTTGTAAAGTGTCCGTCAAATATATTTCTGCATCACCTCATAAACTCCAACCTGGCAATAAAATGCGACCATAGATCAGGACAGCTCCTTTATATTTACATTATGCAAACATATTTATTCCTTCGCTCCGAAATTCTTTGCGAAACTGACTTTGCGGCTAATGCAGATGGCAGGCGAAGCGAAGCGTAAAATGCTTTGTAAATTATTATGCCAAGACCCCAAGTCGGGGTGGGTGCTTAGACCCCACATACTATGCACAAAAATATATTTTTTTCCAGAGATAAACAAAGTATTTTCGCTGGTGGCTGCGGGGCGGCATGTGTTGTGTCATAAATTTCAATTGACTTATGAATATGGAGGGTGCTCTTTGCCCACGGAAAGTTTTTAGCGCCCACACGTGCCTATAAGCCCACGAATATTGTTTAAATTTATTTCTCGCTTTGCTAATTCTGTCTTCCCAAAAGATATTTTTTTTTAAAGAATTTCCTTTCTGAAATCTTGGTTGCTTTTGGAGTATAAAATGAGCCTAAATGTGCCCCTAATCTTGATATTATTATTATTTCTTTTTTGTAAGCAAACAAGCAAAACTCAACTCCGAATGCCAGCAATATTCAGTTCAATTCTAAATTTCAGTGAGAGCTCAGCTCCCAGATTAATTTTATATAAGTAAATATCTTGGCTAGGTTTAAGCATAAAGTAAAATCCAGGTCAATTACCATTTTCCTCAATTATAAAGAACTATTTAATATGACAAATTTAGCGGCTTGAGTAGAGTATAAGAATCTCAGTTTTATAATTAACACTTTATATTGCATAAATTTATATGTGTACCGTTTTTCTCCATGAATCTGTCAAATCTCTCGCCGAGCCGCCAATCCCTAAAGTTGCGACCAAGTCCAATGCATCATTTTTATGTGAAAAATTTTAGAACTGCCTAAGCGCTTAATGTGCCCCCAGCTTTGGAGGAAAACCTCTACGACCAGAGTTTCCGCCACTCCTTCTCGCTCTCTCTCTCACACACATCCGGACAGTCTTGCTCTGTCTCAGAGCACCCGAAGGATATTAACAATAATCTAACCAAATTAACCCAAAGCACTAAAGTGTAAGTGACATTAAGTTAATTTTCGTGTGCGCCATCGAAGAGAGAAGCGAGTTGGGGAAAAAAAATAACGAAAAAGCTGAAACAAAGGAAGTGGCAATGGGGAAAAACTTACGTTTTATTTTACTTTTGGTTGTTTTTTTGTATTTTTTTGCTTCTGTCCCTGCTGCTGTTGGTTGCATCAACTGTGCAAAATTTCCCACGAGATCAATCAGCCGCAGGCTGGAACAGGACGGGCAACAGCAGCTGATGCTGCTGCTGCAGAGGGGGAAACCAGCTCGGATCCTGTTCCTCGATGTTGTGGCTTTTGTTGTTATTACTGCCTCTTTGCAACTTTTCCTTTTGTGTAACTTTGACCTGCTCAGCTCGCAGCGCTTCCTTCGTTCTTTTGCCGTATTGTCTACAAGTAGGAGCAGCTTCTCTCCCCCCCAAAAGTATATACGTGTGCGGGGGATTTTTTGTTTTCACCTTTTGGCATTGGGAGCTCGTCGGAGTGTGCGGCTAATGAAGCGAGAGTTGATGAGGCGAGCCAGGTCAGAGGCACCCAGAGTTCGACTCCAGGGGCGGGCTTAGCAGATACTAAGGACGAGCTGACACAAGAAGTTCCTGGTAAAATAAAGTTTTTCGCCAAAGTTGAAGATAAGCTTTATTACCTTGATATTAATTGGTTGACAGACATGTTGTTTTATATATTTTTAACAAATTTAGTTTATATTGTATTAATAGATATAAAATTAAATTAAATCCTTTGAAGTTTACTAAAATTTCAACCACCCTCAAGCACCAAGTAATCCGCTTTTGCCGCCACTTCTGTCCTAGGAATCTCTTAAAAAACAGCTAGGCCAATTGACCAGAAACCAAAAGTTGTCTCTCATTAACAGGAAACACTTCAAAGAAACCCATAAGCCAGGAAACTTGGCGCTAATTGTCTCGGTGTGCGCACGCATTGGAGGTCGAGGTCCTCCGAACTATGCCGCAAAAAGAAAGCCACTTGATTGATTAATGGATGTCAAGCGCCAGCGCCAGCGTCGAGGTGACAAGTGACCAAGTCAAGTCGGGCGGGGATTTGCCGCCACTAAATGATGTGCCAAATTAGACACGACCCGGAGAGGCCAGCACTGACTCTCCTCCGCCCCCGGGTCAGTGGGGAGCCCGGCCAGAAGCGTATGCAATAAACCGTCAAAATGGCGTCCGGCAAACGACTAGAAAATGGCCACGTGCTCCATTTATTTGGGGTCCCTTTTTCGGAACCGACATCTGTATGCCGAAACATTTAATTTTGCGCCCCAGAATTCGATGTAGTGGTTCTTGCACAACTTGCACTTCCGTCTACTTTTGCACTTCCGCCCCGTTTGGGCAACCAACCTGAGCCCGAGCCCCGGATCCGAGTCCCTCCCCCAAAATGGAGTTCGGGGTCCATTGCGGATGTCCGCGTGGCAATTTTAATGCAATTTTTATGCGCCCGCTTTCGGCTTCCGATTTTTTATTTCTTTTTTTTTTTCAGCGCGTCCGTGTCCTTCTCTCCGCCATTTGCCTTTTATCGTGTGCCATAATAGCAGTTTGTCTCTCCCCCGACTGCAGTTTTTGGCCAGGAGCCGGGGAGATGGGGCTTCCAGGAGGGGCTCCTGCATCCTCTCGAGCGGATGTCAAGGTATATTGTGAGCAGCCATATTTGGCTGTATTTGGGTTAAAGACTTTGGGTATTAGAGTGCATAATTGCACTTTTTATGGTTTGCAGAAATGTAACAGCTCTTCAAAAGCTTTGCGCTGTGTTTAATTTAAAAATAAAAAATATTCTCTTTATTTTTCATATCTTGCCTATACATTCTTTTAATACTATTTTTAAGCAACTATTCGTTAACGGTTTGTATTACCTTATATCAACTATTAATTCTTGTATTCAATATAAAACAAAAGCCATTACAGAGCCCTTGTCGAAAATGTCTGTTATAAACTTTTAAACAGTTTCCCAAAATGTCCACAAACAAAAAAAACGGGCATGGAAAATTTGAGCATAACCATTTTGCTTGCAGAAACCGCAAGACAGTGTTGTAAACTAAGACCAGCACGCCCCAACACCCCTTTCTTCTTGGGAGGAAAAGTTGTTGTTGTTCTAGAGCCCAAGAAAATTTCTATAAAAAGGCATAATAGACGTCAGAAAATGTCTGTGACAGCGGCAGTAGAAAACTACAACAAAAGCATCAATAAACAGTGTAAAAGACAGTTACTGGAATGGAGTGCCACAACGAGTGGGAAAAGCGGAGTGGGTGCACAGAGAACAAAAGGGGATGA